CTTTATTGTTTTCTTCTAATTTGTTTGCCCTTTCCTCTAGTTGTTTACAGCGTTCTTCCAATTTTCTTGTCTTTTCGTCTGCACAAGCCTCCAACTTCTTCATGATGTTACTCATAAATCTACTTTCTTCTGCTTCTTCCAATTTTTGATGTTCAAGTCTAGATGTTGGAGGAGGGCTAGGTTCTGGTGATGCTGTATTGCTCTTCATTTTGTTGTATGTACTTCTGCCTTGACGTCTGCCCATCTCCTTGTGGTTCCTTCTTGGTCTCATCAGGGTACTTGGTTCAGAAAGAGCTGACAGATTCAGGAAGTCTCTCTCTCTTATCCAGATGGGAGTTCTCTTGTCCAAATGGGGAACTCCAGGGCCGGATGGAAGCTCTTATCTACACTGGAAGTCTGGGGAAGGATGGGAGCTTTTGTCCAGACAGGAAGTCCAGGGTAGGATGTGAGATCTTGTCCAGGAGGGAAGTCCAGGGCAAGATGGGAGCCCTCTCTCTCTGGTCCAGAAGGGAAGTTGGGGGCAGGATGGGAGCTGGGGGCCAGTCTCTAAGTCTCAGTAATTGGCTGGGGTCTCGGGCAGATGGGCGTGGGGCAGGGCGTGGAGATTGCAGGGGCTGCCGGGGTTTGGGGGGCTTGGAAAAGGGGATCCCTTCTGGTGGGGCTAGAATGGGACCTGCCTGGTGCCCAAAACATGGGGCCAAGTTGGGCAGGTCTTCCTGGAGTGGCTGGTGCCCAGGGATGGGGTCCGGGTTGGGCCCAGATATTCACCTCTGGTCCAGAAGGGAAGTCGGGGCAGGATGGGAGCTGGGGGCCGGTCTCTAAGTCTCAGGAAGTGGCTGAGGACTTGGGCAGATGGGCGTGGAGGCAGGGTGTGGAGATTGCAGGGGCTGCCAGGTGGCTTGGAAAAGGGGATCCCTACCGGGAGCTAGAAGGGAACCTGCCCGGTGCCCAGATTCTGGGGCCAAGTTGGGCAGGTCTTCCCGGAGTGGCTGGTGCCCAGGGATGGGGTCCGGGTTGGGCCCGGATACTCACCTCTGGTCCAGAAGGGAAGTCGGGGGCCAAAAATGTGATTTTTTCAGCTTTCTAAAAGTATAATAACTGTAGTAATAGGGAAAATTTGCCTTCCTGTCATTTCAAACTGGTGCTTCACACACCTCAGTGCTTCCATTGAGATTTCTGACAGTCCTCTACCTCATGCTGCTCCCTGTGTTTCATGTCCTTCAGCTCACCTATGGACCTTTCCATCCTATCCTGAGTGAT